AGGCTTCATTAACCCCTGGTCAGGATGGGATTAATCAATTCCTCAATATTTTCCCCCGTAATTGAGAGGAGTAGTACCATCCCCTGTAGGGTTCACATTTTCATGCAATCACTGAAGGTATCACTATGCCCCTCTTCCAGTGTTGATGTTCCTCCTGCATGTTGGTGGGCAGAATCTTAAGTCAAGGGTCTTATCCTTCTCCATACTCGAGAGATTAGCAACATGAACACCTCACCAATGCTATTGAGTACTGAATCATCTTATTTCAGGAGAATGATGGCAGTTGTCCATGAAATTAAATCTGGACTGTTAATCCTTCTCCCAACATTGATGGGTGGCAGCAAAATAAAGTTGTTCTATAAGAACCCCAGCCCCCTAAATGCAGCCTCCATGGTAAGATACTTTCCTCTTTGCTTCCATGATCATTATGGTCTAGTCCTACCCAGGTCCTACTTCCTTTGCTTCTGGCCTATTCCTAATGCACATACACACCACAGGCCCATTCATTGCTATGGGTGAGCCATACTCATGGCGGTCTTCAGCCTTCCAGCAGAGTACAGACCATCCATGGGAATGAATGAGGTCACAGTGGGGGGGGGGGGGGGGTTGCAGTAGGAAGAGGACCTGTTGAGGACATTTTGCTTAGTAAGGCCCCATGTACACGGGACACTTCTGAACAATGGAAACTGACTGCTGGAAAATGTAGGTTAAAAAATGTCTGTTTAGCCGCGTTTGCATTTAGAAGCATTTTTTAAAGGTAAGCACAGGAGAACCTCTCAAATTCCCAGAATGCACTTAAAAGTGATAAATTATTAACTATTTCAGACTGTTTCAGAGAAATACAGAGAGTAGAAGCAGAGACAGCAGTATGTGTGGAGATTAGCTTAGGTGTGAGTTTCTCATTAACATTTCTCTTGTTTCCAAGGGTGGGAAAGGTATCTGGTGGAGGGAGTCATTAAGGCCACCTGGCAGGGGGTCTTCATGAGGAATTTGAGGTGTGAATGGTCATTAACATATCTTTTGTTTCCAAGGGTGGGAGAGGTCTGAGGTGTGAATTGGTCATTACAATGTGTGACAAGCTTGGTGGGAACATCCTGTGTGTTCAGTGTTTTGTCCATCTGAGTACCTTGAAAACTCTTTGCATGAATTTTTCATGATGAAAAAAGGCTCTGGACAGCATCGGGAACTGGAAGAGTTAAAAAAAAATTTCAAACGCTTATAAACACGATTTGCCGCATTTACAATTGTTTTGCGTTTGAAACGCTGATAAAATCCACTGCTGAATGCAAGTTTTCTGCATTCAAAAAAATGACTGTAAACGACGATGTGTACATGGGCACATAGGAAAACATTAGGGAGAGTTCAGGGGCTGCTGGAAAAAAATGCTGAACAGCTCCTAAACGTGAGTTTATCAGCTGCAGTGTATATGGAGCCCTAAGGCTGTGCACAGCTGGGAAGGGTCTCATAGTAAAGGTGGTGGAAGCAGGCAGGAGGATGAGTATTTTACAAGCTGGGCTGCCATAGGGGAAATGAGGAAAAGGGGGGGGGGTTATTTAAAAGACAACTTTATTGAAAGTAAATTTGTTACTAAATTTGCAAAACCAACTATCCATTACAAACACCAACTATCCATTACAAACAGAAAAATGACAATGCGTGAATTAAGACTTAGCCTTAATAATTAGATTTATTAACAATTAAAATTAGAGCCATTAGCAGTTGTACTTCAATTATGTTTTAGCCCGGGTTCACATCTGTGCGGTATATCCATGTGATTCGCACAGAAACCTGCACCGAATTCCTGTGCAAAACACATGCGATTTGTGTGCGGTGCGTTCAGAACTATACATTTTGTATGGCTCTATTCGCACCGCACCCAAAACATGAAGGACCCTTTTTTGGTCCACACTAGAATTGGATCACATTGGTATTCACACCTATGCCATCAGATTCTGCACATCGCACCGCGTTTTGCGGACCGCTTTCAGGGTGTTAACATACACACCCGCAGCAGTTTGCATGAACGGGGTACAGAATTCGCACTGAAAACTCTGCAAATTCCGCACAGCATCAGTGTGAACGAGGGATAAAGGGGAAAGGTTAGAAATTTGTTCAGGTTTTTACTGCCGTTTTCTCATTGGGGAGATTTGCCATCACTTCCTCTGTGGTCATCAGGACAGAGAAAGGGAACCCTCCCTAGCTGGGACACAAACACATACAGAATAAATGGGATTTTAACCTTTTCCCACTTAAAAATAGAAAGTGTTTTTGGCTGGTATTGGGCTCTAAAGTGTAAAAGAGATGAGCAAATATTGTCTAAAATACAAGAATCATGTATTCTTCCTTAAATCTTGGTGTGCTTTCTGAATTTCTTCTAGATCTTGTCTCCTAGATTGTAAGCTCCAAGGATCAGGGCCCTCCTAACTCTCTTGTATTGAACTGTATTGTTGCTGTATTGTCTCCCGTTATATTGTAAAGCGCTGAGCAAACTGTTGGCGCTATATAAATCCTGTATAATAATAATAATAATATAAATCCTGTATAATAATAATAATAATATATAAATCCTGTAATAATAATAATCCTATATAAATCTTGTATAATAATAATAATGTAAATCCTGTATAATAATAATAGTAATTCAGTGTGTGACATTACTTTCCTGTAATAAAGACCACTCACTGCTGCTCGCTCTCCTTGTGCAGGGTGACTTGTCTTGTCTCCTCCCCCCTCTTTTTTTTTTTTCAGGCTGCCCAGTGATGGCCTACTTTTACAAGGTAATATCTAAGTTTGTAAAGACACTTGGTCCACACAGAGTGGATTTATTTCCTATGTGGCTATGGAGGACTAACGTTTTTGAGCCCCGGAGTTCAGCTTTAACATGCTATCTCTCTACAAAGTGCATCTCATGTAAAATAATTATTTGGTGACGCAGTTTAAGATAGTTGTAGATTTAGGTGAAGCACTTCAAATATTTACTCTTTCAGCTTTATTCAATGAACAATGCAGAGTGCGATCGGTCATAGCAGCCAATCAGAATTCTCATTCGGCCAGGGAAAGTTGAATCTTGATTGGTGGCTAGTGCTGGTGTCATGCATGTTGTCTACTTTGTACTGTTCTATTAAATAAAGCCATTTATTCTAAACTAGTAATAGATGTTAACTGCAGAGCTTCACTCTCCATCCTATAAAAGTATTAGACGAAACTGCAGAGAAGAAATACATTTAAAGGGTAAACCACCTGTTGATCCTGCCAGAAATTCAAGGAGCAGAAAACTTCCTGTGCCAAAACATTGTCCTGGGCAGGGGAACTTTCTTTTTTGCATCCATTTCTGTGGGTTAACAACACATGATTTGCAATGCATTAAGACCAGATGTGGTTTTTAATGTGTGTTGAGACCCCCCTTTAGACATGAAGGGTGCCCCTCCTCAGGCAAGGAAATAGTTTTCTTGCAGTTGTTCATTTATCCTGGAAGCTGTGACAAATCTAGTCCCCTAGGAAGACATATATGAAGTTATTTTACATGCAATTTAAAGCTATAGCAGACCGGGGCACTGTCTGGCTACACAGATTTAGAGCGGTATCAACTCAAATTAAAAATAAATTTGGATGATTGTGTATATAGTTTGATTATCTCGCAATTAGATTTCTTACTTGCGAGCCACTAATATGGTGATAACTGGATTGCTGACATAAATCACATTCTCATACTGTGTGTATAAAACATAATAATAACACCTATATGTCGCGCTCCCAATATACAGCAAATATTAAATGTATCAAACGGTAATATTATAGAATATATCCAAAAAAAAAAAATAATGCCACTTTTTTAAAATTATATAAAAAATGTGAATCTCATAATATTCCCATAAAAGATTAAATAAATAAATACAAAACGTCCCTTTGATCAAAAAAAATAAAAATAAATAAATAATAGTCCAAAAATTGAAGTGATTGCGTGATCCAAAAACAGTAATTGTGACTTTGTGACAAAGTCACAATTACTGTTTTTGAAACACGCAATCACTTCAATTTTTGGACTATTTATTTATTTTTTGATCAAAGGGACGTTTTGTATTGATTTATTTCATTAATCTTTTTTTGGGAATATTATGAGATTCCCAAAAAAGATTAATGAAATAAATCAATACAAAACGTCCCTTTGATCAAAATAAATAAATAATAGTCCAAAAATTTAAGTGATTGCATGATCCAAAAAAAGTCATTGTGACTTTGTGACAAAGTCACAATGACTGTTTTTGGATCACGCAATCACTTACATTTTTGGACTATTATTTATTTATTTTTATTTTTTGATCAAAGGGACGTTTTGTATTGATTTATTTAATCTTTTATGGGAATATTATGAGATTTACATTTTTTTATATAATTTTAAAAAGGTGGCATTATTTTGTTTTTTTTTGGATATATTCTATAATATTACTGTTTGATACATTTAATACTTGCTGTATATTGGGAGTGCAACATTTGGGTGTTATTATTATAGTTTGATTATCTCCTATACATTCTCTAAGAAAGCAATTAGTATTCTTTGTCCTTAAAGCTATTGCCTTTGATGGGGAGTAGTAGAGAGGTTGTGGCCCTGCTGGTAGTCTTCTGCAACACTAATTTTCACCAGCAGGTGGACATGTAGAAGGGAACTATATGTACAGATTTGTGTCACAGTAAGACTTGGGGACTGGGGTCCCCTCTTTGCACAAGTAGATTGAGATTTTCAGATACACTGGAAGCCCAATTAAAGGATCTTCGTTCAAAGTAAAGTGTGGCTCCCTCAGAGTAGTTACAAAAACAGCCCTAAACGTGTTTTCAGGTAGAGGTGCGTGGCATGCATTTTAGGATTCTGGCACCTTCTTTCACGTTCCTTTAAGTTTGAAGCATGATATCGATTACTGGACAAAGTGCCATCGCTTTCTTGAAATACAGATCATATCCCTGTAATCATATTGATGTTCAGAGTGACTTAGCGGACGTTCTGTTCAGAAACTGGAGGTTAATCGGGACGATTTGGGGTAAGAACAACCCTGGACATAGCAGAAACCTTCCACACCTTCAGGGTCAGGTCTGAGCTCATACTTCTGAATTATCTATGAGACAAGGAAGGAGGACAAATAGATGTTACTGTTTTCTATCAATAGTTCCACCTCAGCTAAAGGTCACAGTGGTGAGACTGCAAAAATCTCTCTGCACCATGCATTGCTTCTGTGTACTAGAGGAGGACTCTGTACCTTCTTCTGTCTTCCTCTCTTGAAATACTCTGCGCTGCTGGAGGACTCTATGCATTCCTCTAACTCTCCTCTCCTGAAATGCTTTACCTTTCTGGAGGACTCTGCTCCATCATCTGTCTTACTCTCCTCTCCTGAAATGCTTTACCTTTCTGGAGGACTCTGCTCCATCATCTGTCTTACTCTCCTCTCCTGAAATGCTTTACCTTTCTGGAGGACTCTGCTCCATCATCTGTCTTACTCTCCTCTCCTGAAATTTTCTGCACCTGGAGGACTTCTTAATTCTTATGAAACTCCTGAAAAGAATGAACAGATGTTACTGACTTTGCTCCATCATTAGTCTTCTCTCCTCTCCTGAAATGCTTTAAAATTTCCTGCTCCATGCTGTCTTGCATTGCTTCCTGTGCTTTCTTCTGGAGACTCTGACTCTGCTACTCTCCTCTCCTGAAAAGTCTGTATTCTTGGAGGACTCTGCGCATCATCTGTCTTCTCCTCTCCTAACTTTCCTCTCCTGAAATACTCTGTACTGAAACAGAGGACACTGAACAGATCCTTACTGATTTCTATAGCAGAAACTGTCTCTCAATCTGAAATTATCTTATGAGACATGCGGAAGGACTTGGACAAATAGATGTTACTGCTTTTCTAAAAGGTCACAGTGGTGAGACTGCAAAAATCTCCCTGCACCATGCATTGCTTCTGTGTGCTAAAGGAGGACTCTGCACCTTCTTCTGTCTTCCTCTCTTGAAATACTCTGCGCTGCTGGAGGACTCTATGCATTCCTCTAACTCTCCTCTCCTGAAATGCTCTACCTTTCTGGAGGACTCTGCTCCATCTGTCTTACTCTCCTCTCCTGAAATGCTCTACCTTTTCTGGAGGAGGACTCTGCTCCATCATCTGTCTTACTCTCCTCTCCTGAAAATTTTCTGCACCACTGGAAGACTTCTTAATTATATATGAAACAAGGAACGAGAATGAACAGATGTTACTGATTTCTTTCATTAGTTCCGTCTCAGCCAATGATGAGAAAATCTTCCTGCACCATGTGTCTTGCATTGCTTCCGTGTTCTGCTGGAGGACTCTGCTCCTTCCTCTCCTGAAATAGTCTGTATTCTTGGAGGACTCCGCTCCTTCCTCTATATAACTCTCCTCTCCTGAAATACTCTGTACTGCCAGAGGACTCTGCTCCTTCCTATATCAAACTCTCCTCTCCTGAAATACTTTGCATTGTCAGAGGGCTCTGCTCCTTCCTCTATATAACTCTTCTCTCCTAAAATACTCTGCACTGGTGGAGGACTCTGCTCCCTCTAAAAAACTCTCCTCTCCTGAAATACTCTGTGCTGCTGGAGGACTCTGCTCCTTTTTCTATCTAACTGTCCTCTCGTGAAATATTCTGCACTGCTGGAGGACTCTTCTCCCTCTAACTTTCCTCTCCCGAAATGGTGTGTATTCTTGAAGGTCTCTGCTCCTTCCTCTATCTAACTCTCCTCTTGTGAAATACTCTGTACTGCTGGAGGACTCTGCTCCTTCCTCTAGTTAACTCTCCTCCGCCATGCTATGCACTGTTGAAGGGCTCTGCTTCCTTCCTATGTCTAGCTCTTCTGTTCTGAAATACTCATTGGAGAGAATTTTACCCGTGATACAGCCAGATGCATTTCCAGTTCTGCGATCCTGCGACCCACACAAGCTCGGACTCCGTACCCGAATGGGATGGAGCTGAAGGGGTTATTCTTCACCTTGTTATCTCGCAGCCAGCGCTTGGGGAGGAATTTGTTAGCCTCTGGAAAGTTGTCCTCATCTCGAGAGATCTGGTAGTGATTTAACGCAAACAGTGTCTGCCAGAAAAAAAAGAAAAACCTCGTCACCAACATGGGGCAATTTACAGGTCTGTAAAATGTCTTGAGAACATTAACCTGCATATTGATCCATAAATGTTATATGATCAGTCTATGGCAGCTTGGACAATGCAGGGTGATAACAGAGAGCAACAGAGAAAATATCTCAGCATTTGTCACATGACTCAGCATGGGAGGAATTTAAAATGATCTATGTTACAGGACTACTAAACATTTTTTTAATCTAGTCCACCACGTTGATATAAACACAAAAAAAAGTATTATTGAAAATATAGGATTACACATGAATAAAAATGTTTTCTTGAACTTTTTTTTTTTTAACGCTGTAACTGCATCTGAGGATTACAGTATAAAACCAATTCACACTGCCATCTTTAGGCTATAGTAGCATCTACAGGATAAAACTTTTTTTTTTTTTTTTTTTAATTAAGCCCCCAACTTATATGTGATCAATATGTCATAGTCTATCATTAGTGGGCATGGGATCTGCCAGTGACTGGGTCTAACATCTAGTAGCCATGCACAGTGTTGCTAACTGTCAAACGGGGAAGTAGATTAATGTTGCCTTAGCCTACGGCAGGGAAAGTTGAGCTACAGATTGTGGTCAGGAAACCATCACAGTGAACCTGCTCTATGCTCATACCCTTATCAAATGTGGTGGGGGGAGGCGTAAATGTTTAGTTAATAGATTGTATTTATGTAGCCAAGTTTATTAACCCCTTGATGCCGACGGCACACAAATATGCGGCCTCACAGAACTAGGCTTTTTTCCGTGGGGCCACATATTTGCGTACCTGTCTTTGTGCTGGGAGCGCGCCGCACGGCGTGCTCCCAGCATGGAGGCCTCAGTGTCACTGAGAGCCCCGGGTCCCGTTCTAACGATCGGGACCCGGGACTCCCGATTTTGGGTAAAGTGATCGCTGTGATAGCCTCTGATTGGCTATCACAGTGATCAGTCACTGTGCAGCCCGGCCCCCTTGTTTTTTCTCTCTCTATGAATGAAGAAGAGAGATACATTGTATCATTATATACAGCCTATTATACATTGTATCATTATATACATCCTATTATACATTGTATCACTATATACATCCTATTATACATTGTATCACCTATATACATCCTATTATACATTGTATCACCATATACATCCTATTATACATTGTATCATTATATACATCCTATTATACATTGTATCATTATATACATCCTATTATACATTGTATCATTATATACATCCTATTATACATTGTATCATTATATACAGCCTATTATACATTGTATCGTTATATACATCCTATTATATACATTCCATTATACATTGTATCATTATATATACATACATCCTATTATACATTGTATCTCTCTAACTCCTGACATAGATAAAAAAAGTTTGTAAAAAAAAAAAGAAGATAAATATTAAAAAAAAAAATGAAAAAATAAAGAAAAATACCTAGATCAAGGTTTGATCTAGTTCAGTGCCAGGGTTAGTGTTTGGGTCAGGGTCAAAGGTCAAAGGTCAGGATTTAAAAAAATAATTGGTATCAGTGTCAACGTTAATGTCAGTGTCTGTGTTTTAGAAAAAAAAAAAAAAAAAAAGACAAAAACAAAATGCGTACTATTGTTTCTGGGCTGTACTACGGGTACAAACAACAAATAACATACACATATATGGTATCACTGCGATCGTCAAGAGCTGGAGAATTTATTTTGGCTTGTTCTTTGGTGGTAGGTTATGGTTGTAACAAGAAACACACAGCCAAATAAAAAAAATGATTTTTTTTTTACTATTTTGGGCCCAGTTTTCCTTTGATAATAAAAAATAATTAGGCGCTATCCATTACCATTTACCACCAAATGAAAGCCCAATTTGTCCTGAAAAAAAACGCGGTATAATCCACCTGCATGTACAGTAGTTGTGATGATATGTACGGTTTTACTAACACGTCAATGTTGCAGAATTGCGCTTAGGCATTTAGATTTGTTTTACCCTTAGGCGTGAAGGGGTTAAGGATGGGGTTGCCCACTTTAAGATACAAGCAATTAGGGAGTGAAACGTGTCAGTGGGGGGAGCTCAGATTATTATTTCACCTGGTGAAAAGAAGACAAACATAGTTAATAGCTTTCAGATCCAGATTGTGGCTATATTTTCTCCTTTGTGGGCTACTCTAAGTAGGGGAGGACGAGCCATGTGGGAGCCGGCGCCTGGAGCAAGACATATGCAGGAACGTTTACCTGTAGTGGACGTATTCTTTGGTAGGTTTTAGTTGAGTTGTTTTGTAAGAGAATATCTGCACAGTGGAGATCTGTACAGCAACTGGCATACATTCAAAAGAAGGCTGTCTTAGGTTTCAATGAGACACAGCCAGCCTTAAGGCAGGCAGCTGCTGTTGCTATGACCTGTGGTGCTCCAGGAATCCTATGTTTTGTTTTTGTAAAACAAATAGTAGTGCAAAAAATCCAAACTATCAGTTTTAGACTTTATAGTTCCTCATTAAACTGCTAGGTTGGCAAATTTTCCTGTATTTGGAGCACTTGGTGGATGTTCTGCCCTGAAGGTGATTGGATTGTGCCCTGTGTGTCTGGTATCTATGGGACAACCTCATTCATCCACTTACATCTTTTGGAAACCAGTAGCCCCCGAGGGTTATGTCCTTCTCAACAGTCACTCTGGAATTAGTCGGTACTACTGGGTACAGCCTACAGAAAAGAATGACAAAGTGAATTAAGTCCGCATAATATGTAACCGCATCATATACTCCTTTCCCCGACTCCATATATCCAACATGCTTGACTCTGGTCTATGGTCATGGGCAGAGATCAGGTGGAAGACTATTTGTAATTTGATGTGGGGAGGATCTGTGCATTTAAAGTGGAACTTCACTCTCTCAATCAACATTGACTATTTGGAATCATTATACTGCTAGCATTATGAAATAGATAGGAAGGTATATTATATTTACTTAAACTTTTTTTTTAAAGTTAAACATTTCTTCAGTTACTTCCTGGTTTTCATGCCTAGGCAAATGATAACATACATCCCAGGATTCTTCAGGAAGAGAGGAGGGGGTTTCTCAGCTAAGCACACCCTCGGCTGCTTGCATGCCTGAGCTAAGGGCAGATGGATTCCAGGAAGTAAATGCTACATGAATAATTTTCGCTTGCTCAAGAGGGCTGTAAAGGAAACCTGTATAAAACTGTATTTTGTTTGCTTTGCTTATGTATTGTACACTGCACTTAGTGTGCACATGGCACTGATATTGTTTTGATTACATTTGCATTCCTTTAATTCCTGGTTAGAAATTATAAACCTAATTACAACCCAAAATAGACACCAATATGTAGCAGCTGGACACCGTACCTTGATACAAGCACCTCATAAACAGTGTTCAAATGAAGTGCAGCACTTAAAACATTTTAAACAGAAATCGTGAGAAAAACGTGAAAAATAATATATAATTAATCTCAAAATGTTCATAAGCTAAATATATGGTGAGATAAAAGCAGAACAGTCCCCAAATGCTGTGATGAGATCAGAAGACTTCCAAAGTTAGCCAATGTTACACCAACAACTTGCATGCAAGGCTTACCAGACGATTTGTGACCCCCCTGCTAAGAGTGGTCAATCTGCGCTTTTATGAGATTTTATTGGTGATATCAAGGGAAATGGACAGTTAAATCATCCTCTGGATACCCAAGGAAAGACAGGAAATCCTCCCAAGCCGATCTCCCTGTACATGATGGCTCCAACCACTCCAAAACGAATTATATGAAACCAGAGCTCGTGGCATTCAACCTTATACACTGAAGTAATGATCTACACTCTTCAATAATGACAGTGGAAGTGTGCAGAAAGACTTTGAACAGTTTCCTTTTACCGCCCCTATCCCAGTATTTCCCTGGTGTTTTTTCTTTACATTCTTAGATAACTAAGCAGAAAAATGGTTCACATAACACAAGATCTGAGATATCTGGCAAGTACTGACTATGTGGTACACGTGACAACAATCTCCCGTATTTTTCATATGTCTGGGCTATGGGGTAGAGTGGTAAGATGGAAGACTTTTCTTACGAAAAAAAACATCCAAGCCTGGCTAAATTTAGCAAAAACACATCTGAAGTCTCCCAAAAGCATGTGGGAAAATGTGTTGTGGTCTGATGAAACCAAGGTTGAACTTTTTGGCCATATTTCCAAAATATATGTTTGGCTCAAAATCAACACTGCACATCACCAAAAGAACACCATACCCACCGTGAAGCATGGTGGTGGCAGTGTCATTCTTTGGGGCTGTTTTTCTTCAGCTGGAACTGGGGCCTTAGTCAAGGTAGAGGGAATTATGAACAGTTCTAAATACCGTTCAATATTGGCACAAAACCTTCAGGCTTCTGCTGGAAAGCTGAACATGAAGAGGAACTTCATCTTTCAGCATGAAAACGGCCCAAAGCATACATCCAAATCAATAAAGGAATGGCTTCACCAGAAGAAGATGAAAGCTTTGGAATGGCCCAGACCTGAATCCGATGGAAAATCTGTGGGGTGATCTAAAGAGGGCTGCGCACAGGAGATGCCCTCGCAATCTGACAGATTTGGAGTGTTTTTGCAAGGAAGAGCGGGCAACTGAGTTGCACAGTTTATAGGTTACATTAAAGGTGGAAAAACTTCTGAAATTATTTATCTTTGTCTCATTTTTTTTACATCACAGAAACCTGACCTTTTAGACTTTTTATATCCACTGTTGACCTAGTGATGTGATAATCTTTGTACACGGCCATTTATCCAAATGACTTTTCATATATATATTTATTTTAATGCCACACAGACCCCAAAAGGCCCACAAAATACATAGCAGACCCCTAAGGGTATGTTACATATTTTGGGGTACCTTTGGAAGGGTCTGTGCCTTTTTTTTTTTTTCTTAAGCATGCATTGAAGTTTTATTTACCAGCATTTTTAACTGTCCTTTTTTTCTCTTTGCAAATGTAATTTTTCTGCAGTAAGAATGGAAAACAAAATTGCATGGAGCGTCCCCTGCCCCCCCTCCTGAACCATACACCTGCCCTCAACATGAGGAGGTGGGGTGCCATATTTAGGCAATGATGTAACCCACTCCATTCCTCTCCCATTCAGCCATGTAAGTGCATGGGCCAGGTAATTGATAAGGATGTGGCAGGTACAAGCACCTGCTGTTTTCCCCAGCAACCATAGAGAGCCAGAAGCTGTCACATTCATCCACACTGAACTCCTAAATGTTCAGTGTTCAGACAGGCGGCATCTTCGGAGGAGAAGGGGACGGTGAGAGCGTCCCTTTAATCATTCATGTGACTGCCCATGTGACAGTCCATGTGACTATGGTGGCAATTTTGAATGTGACAAGCTGTCCCAAAGGTCCAGGAGAGCGATGAGGCTTCATGGATGAAGAGGAGGCACTGCACTAAAGGTGATTCACTCTGGATTGAGACAGAAGTCTTGGGAGATCCTGAGACACCCCAGGTTGCTCGATTTACAGAAACCTCCTATTGATGCATCTGATCTAATCTGGAACTGGGTTCGGAGGCAACGGCTGGGACTGGATATGCACTGGGATGGAAAGATCTCAATCGGTCGGCATGGAAGGTGGTGGCGAGTTGCTGTGGGTAACGGCGGGACACTTAATCTTGTGATGTACTTGATGTAATTGGTGCAGCCTTTCCTGGGGGTGGATAATACTGCAGTTGTGCACTAATAGCAAATTCAGCGACAAAGTCTAAAGAGATGACGGGCAGATCAGCCAGAGGGGGGAGGGGGGGGGTAAAAACCCCTCAAGCAAATGCGATTACTAGTACAATAAGGAGATACCTGCCTTTGCAGGAGAAAAGCCTGGAGACTTTAACCCCAGATAAACAACAGGATAGAACCAGAAAAGGGGTGAGAGATCAATCAAGAATGTCACTCGGGACACAAGAAGCGAACCAGATCAGCGAACTGATAAACGTGGATAGTGTAACAGACCAAAGTGTTTTGGAACAACAGGGAGCTATGTCATAAATACCTACAAAATCTGATATGGCGGAAATGTTTGCAAAATTGGAGATGTCTATGAAAAATTAAATGGTAGTGTCACGTTCCTGATTGGAGATTGAAATGACAAGGTCGGCCTCACTTGTGTCACTAGCCCTGACCCCACTGGAAGTGGAACAGTGGGTGTCTAGGGACCAGGCGGACAAGAGCGCCAGTAGTTGTTTGCAGCTCTTGCAGTTGGAGACTTTGGAAGACAGATGAACCTCCGATTCAGGCACCGTAGTAATATGCAGGGCTGGTGTGGTGATCGCCAGGTGTGCACTAGAGCAAGGCAGGAAGCAGGGATGGGAGACAGGAGCAGTGTCATGGAATAGCCAGGGTCATCAACAGGCGGACAGCGAGGTACCAAATCATAAGCAAGCCAAAGTCAGGAGCAGAGCCGAAGTCAGGAACAAGTATCAAGCAGGAGAGTAATCAGAGTCAGGTCAGGAACAAGCCGGGTCAGCAACAAGGAAATCACACAGGAACGAGCAGGAAACGGAACAGCTGAAGACCAGTCAGCACTCAGCACAGGCAGAGGCAAAGGCACCTTTTAAATAGTCCGTGTGGCGCCAATCTTCACCGTGCGTGTGCGTGATCATGCATTTCTGTGCACATGTGCACGTCTATTCACCAGCCGTCTCACGGGAATTCCCTTACAGGTAGCAATACGTAATGATCTGGGTCAGAAAAATGGAGACACAGGCTCTTTTGATTACTAAACTAGAGCCGCAGGTTGAAGAGATGCAAGGAGAACAGAGAAAGCTCACATTCAAATTAGAAGATCAAGAGAACATAGAAAGAAGAAACAATTTAAGGATTTGCGGTTTACCAGAAGAGTCCCAAGGGGAAGACTTGTGAGATAAAATAAAGTGCTTAATCCATTGATAGGCAGACCCGTAACAGAGTATTTAAAAATGGAGAGAGTATACAGGATAAGGTGACCACAAGAAGTGTCAGCAGACTCGCCCAAAGATGTGATTGTTTAATTCCATCATTACGAGGATAGAGAAATAATATGGAAAAAACTCTGAGACGACGGAAATAAAATATGGAAAGACAAAGCCGCAAATATTGGCTGACATTGCAACTAAAACGTTAGCCAGGAGAAGATCTTTGAAACCGTCGCTGGAGCAAATGAGGGGAAAAAAAATCTGATATAACTGGGGTTTCCCGGCCTGTCTGATTGGATAGAAAGACGGGAAATCGGCAAGACTGCACTTCCCAGAAGAATTAAGTGACTTTTGTGGAAAATTACACTTCCAGGAAATGGACATTGTGGGGTAATCAGGAGGGTCTATTGAGCGCTCAGGGCCAGGAAAAGAAAAGTGGCAGATTGTGTGGGATGAGGAGGGGGGGAACCTCCCGGTCTCTCCTAGACCCCAAAAACATTTTTTTTTCCCACTCTCTCTCTCTACCACTCCTCGCTCTTTTTTTTTTCCCACATCGGAGTGGTAGTTCACACGTACTGAGAAAATCGGGGGGCTAGATAGGCAGTAGGAGCTAGATAGAGGATGAGAAGGTAATGGTGGGTTGTCTATAGGCTACATGCGCTACCAAACTCTAGATCCCCTATGCTGCCAGATGGGGGGTGGAGTGGTCATGTGTGTTTAGAGCTTCACCCCAATATAGGAATCGCTAGTGGGAACGTCTCACAACAGAT